TCTTGACTTTCTGCAACCATAACTACTATAAACTGTCTTGTCTGTCAGCTTTGCATCATGCCAAGGAACTGCTATGAACTGCCTATCCATTTCAGCCTTTTGAACTCTCCTGAGTTTAACCCACGAAATTGTAAGTCTTGGTCTACCATGCCTTGTCCACTGATCTGTTTGACCCAACAAGTCTATGTTGCCAGCAGCATTCGGGCTAAGTATAGCCGTTCATTTTCCCACATGAACCATTACTCGCCTTTGGGTCTGGTGGCATTGCCACTGCCACATTGTTACCTTGACTTAAGCATGCCTCTCTCATGCCTGACTTGGATCTTGACATAAGTGTAAAGTGTCACCCCATGCCAAGCTGTGTGTCCAAGTCTTAAGGTGCTAACATCACACCACTTAAATAAAGCTTATGTGTCACCAGCACTTACATCCACTTGGCTGGACTACACTACAATAGTCATTATCACATTAATTAATCACTCTGTGGCTTGGTTTGGTACAAGTCCAAAATATCAAAATATTTATATATTTTAATACATTTTTCAAGACTTCGGGGCGATCAATACTCATAAATAAATAAATAAATAAAACGGTGGTGTTATATGTATTAATTAATATATTAATTAGTATATCAACATTAATTATGAAAAAATATTATTAGAGTGAAATGTCAATAACATTTTAAAAATTATGAAAACAATAACGGTTGTTTTAATTGAAAATGAAGAGACTATTATAAACCATATTATCTATGAAATTTTTTGAATGTAACAGTGATGTCATTATTATTGACATGCAGGTATAAGTAATCTTACTATAAGGGCCCGTTTGTTTTGGGGTTAAGTAGATGAGAGGGGATTAGGATGGTGGATGTGTTATTTAATGTTGTGTTTGTTTGTAGAGTTGGGGAGGGGATTAGGATAGCGGAGGTGATATAGATGGAGGTTGGGAAAGGGATTGAGATGGATGTTGGGGAGATGGTATTAGAAAAATAGTGAGGGGATTAAAAAAAATTCATTTTTTTTATTTGTTATTTATTGAGAATTTTTTTATAAATATTAACGTTTAATTTTTTATGTTTTTTTATTTATTTTATTATTTTATATAAAAATAATTTAACAATTCCTACACTAACAACTATCATCAAATCAAACACAATTTTACTTAATTCTCTCACTATCAATTCCTTCGCTATTAATCCTCTCACTATGAATTCTCTCAATTCTACCTCTGAAAACAAACGGGGCCTAAAGATATGAAATTTATTAGATTGTTAGTTACATTTGACATGTAAGGTTTACTCCCTATATGTTTATGTATTATTAATTGGTGATATCACATATCAATGATGACATGATATTAGCATTATATTAAATTTTTAATCAAATTTTGTATAAAAAAAATAATCATTATATAATTTATTTTAAAACTTATATCCATATTTTTTTTATTGTTTATGATACACTAGTTACAAATAACATTATTTTTTAATATTTTTCAAAATTAATCATAAAAACTTATGCAAAAGATTTTTATAAAAAAATTTAATATTATAATTAATAAGCATATCACATGGGTCACATGGGCGTGGGTCTCACATGTGACTCATATTGTGTAAGTTCTACACCTATGTGAAATAGAAAAATGTTTGGGAACACTAAAAAGGGAGCACTAATGATGTGGCAGTGGGCTCCGCTCACTTTCTATGCCTTGTTTTCTTTTTTTTTTCTTTTTTTTTTTGTCATTCTCAATAAATTAGTGCTATTAGTAGTGATGTTTTTAGTGGGATGAATCATTGTTGTGTTTTTTGGGACTGACACCTTAAAAGTCGAGGAGACAGCTCTTGAAGAGGGAGGTAGGTCAAAATTCGGACGAACTACTTCGTTGAGCCCTAATCGGCTTGCAGTGGCCCAAGTGCGAATAAACAAGCTCCTATGAATCCATCATTTACAGTATGCAAAGTGTGCACGCACAGGGCTACACTGCCACATTCGAAGATGGTGAATTGTACCGCTACTATTGGAGTGGTGGGCTGGAATGAAATTAGGAGAAAATTATAAAAGGTTATGAATTTTTATTTTTATCAAAAACTTTATTTGTTATAATATTTTTAAAAATATATATCTTATTTTATAAATAAAATAGTCTCTTAATATAACAAATATATAACTCATTCTTTTCACATCTTACATTTATTTTTTATTTTCAACCAAAAAAGGTTCAAAATTTTATTAGAGATTGTTTCTATGGTATTGAATTTTTTTATGTATATATATATATCATATTGTATATACATGTGTGTTTCTATATAAGGTGAAAAAATATTATTTGTCTTTTAACCTCTCCGATAATAAAATCTTGATTCTATCCCTGGTGATGGTGATGGGTGAGCTGGTTGGCCCAATATCATGGAACAAGGGTGTGTTTGATTGGACGGACTGGAAAAGGGGGGATTAGAATCCATCGGACTTGAGTCCTGGGACTGTGAATCCCCCGGACTATTTGGTCGGATTGGATATGTATCCTGTGTTTGTTTTTTCATGGGATTAGATGTCTGGATAGGACTATTTTCAGTGAATCCAACGTTTGGTTGGACGGACTGGATAGGATAAATGAACAAAAGACTATTTTACCCTTTTTCAATTGTTTACTAAGGTCAAGTGTGTTGGTGTTATTACGAATCGATGATTGTGAGTACGCGCCACCACACTCATGGGCACACGTTTGGGCCGCACAATTTTTGGAGGCTCATTGGATGATAGAGTGGGGTTCGATTGTATGGGAACACTACTAGCCTTTCTTCGGTTTAATGAGCCCTAGCAAATCAATTCCCTCACCCTTCAAACAAAGAATATTTAAATTTGTGATTTTTATTATTTTAAATCAGTAAAATTTTACGTTTTGTTGATACAATTTGATAATGATTCAATAAAGTCACAATCCTCGTATTTTATTTGAGTGAATAAAGTCAATAGTGCTCTTGGGCCATTCATTTTAAAACAAAACAATTATTACAATTACTTTAAATTTTAAAAAAGTCATCAAAACATCATTTTAGATATATTATTTTGTTTATTTATTGTTTTTATTTGTAAAAATAAACTCTTTCAATATAAAAAATGATCCTCAAATAATTTGTATATATATATAATTTATTGTTTTTTTGTATTGACATTTTTGAAAGAATTAATTATATGAACATTTCTCAACTATTATTAAATATCACCTTAATTCTTAATTTAAAGTGTACATTTAGACTCTTATCAACTTAAAAATTGCAACACTTTCATCTGTAGAGGGGACATTTGTAAGTTTAGGAGTGTAAATAAACACTTTTAAAGTTAAAGGGGTAAAATTGTATACAATGATGTTGAGGGGGGGCATTTGCTTATTTAACCATTTTTAAAGTCATAATTTATTTATTTATTTACTTATTTTTTTGTAGGGAAATCATTTTCAAATTTCTTTCTTATCTATATCTAATTTTTTTTATTTATTTATGTGGGTGTACAATTGGGTAATGCTACAGACTCTAAAAGTTTTATCAAAATTTTTACTAAATGTCTTAATTTAGATGTAAGAATGTGGGTCCCATGTGAGACATTTAGTAAAAATTTTAAGATTTCTAGCATTTTTGGTGTACAATTTCATTTAAAGTGAGAAAGGATGAGGCAATTTAATGCACGAGGAGAACTCGTAAGATTGGATTGGTAAGGTTTTAAAGTAAGGATTGAGTTTCTCTCACGTTGGAATCTCATTATGATAAAACTTGAGGGATTCGTATGACCCAACACGGGTCTTATTTCAATGATCAAAACCGTTTATTTATAGGGTTCATAATGTATATTATTTTTGAAAAAAATTTAAAGTGATTCGATAATTGTAACCTCTTAATTTTATCACATTTGTCTCTTAAAAAATAGATGATCTACTTCAAATATATATTTGTTGTCTATTTTCTTGAGACAAATGCGATAAAAAGGAAAATATTACAATTATCAGACTATTCTAACTTTTTTTCATGGATAATATACATTGCGAGTCCTACAAAATGAACGGTTCGGATCATCAAAACGAGACCCATGTTGAACCCTACGGGTCCTCAAGTTTTGTCATATTAAGATTTCAATATGAGATAAACTCAACTTTAAAGTAAACCTCACCGTGTCAAAAATTTGAGAATCAAATCTAACCGTAAGATCTTTGAAATTGAATCAAAACTAAACAGAAAAACGATTCGATTGTGGTCCGACTCTACAATTCTTGGATAATTTTTATCATGGTATATAAATTATTCACTTTTAAAATATTCTCCACGCTAAATTTATAAAATGTGTAATAACATAACAAATTCATCATATTATATAAAAATTCTTATAGATATACAAATTTTAAAAATATAACAAATGTAAAAATCATATAAATAATGAAAAAAAATTCTCCAATCAATTAAAAAAAACCCATATATTAATGTGAAAAAAAAATATTTTGTGAATAGGATGAATGAAACTATCATCCACGTTGCAATAAAATCGGAATTCTCGAAATTCAATGAGAAATAGAATAAAACTTAGCAGAATGTCCCGATATATATATATCAAAATTAATAAAAATTAAGAAACAATTTTGTTCAGTTTAATTCAAAATTTTAAATATAAATTTATAAATCAAGTCGTAATTAGCAGTTCTTAATAGTTGGATACACAAGTCAAACAAGACAAATTGGACACAAAGAAACAAATCAAGCCCGAGCCCACAAAACAAACGGGCCTACATTATTGACTCACACTGAAAACAACCTAATTGAGAATTGAGCCCAACCATTCAGGATATCATAGTTGGGCTTTTGATGGGGCCCAATTAAGTGGCCCAAATTAAAGTGCAAATGGGCCTTCAAATCCCAATCCAACGGTTCCGATTGAAAGTTAGACCTCAACCAATTTCAACGGACACGATCATTTCTCGTTCTCGCTCTCCATTAATATAGCAAAACAGAAACCAAGAATCGAACAAAAGATTTGTCTCCGCCGAATCGCCGCAAAAATTCATCGGGAAAAAAATCGAATCTTTTGGTTTGAAAAATCATATAATTCTCAGCAATGAATGGAACGAAACGACTTGGAGGCTTCGATTCTAATCCTGAAACCAATGACTCTCTTGTAAGTCCATTCTTCACTCTCTCTCTAAAACCCTAATCTCTCTCTCTCTCTCTCTCTCTCTCTCTCTCATCTCTTCATGTTTTATCGAATTGTAGTGTTGTTTCATCACTTGAGCTTCAATTGAGGTTTCACAATGTTTGTTCTTAATTGCTGAGTAGCCAGAGATCAGTGTTTTTCGTTTATCAAGTCCAATGTTATGTGGGTTTTGCTTTTTTGAGTGACAATTAAAGCTATTTTGCTTTCAAAGTGTATTGGGACTATTTCTTATGCAAATTAGTGGTCTTTTTCATAAAATATTTACAAATTTATGAAAATGTTTGTAACTTTAATTATTAAAATTGATAAAGTTTACCACTGAAGTGCAATTTTCTCTGTCTTAAATGGCAAGTGAAGAATCATTGTGGCATCCAAGGCATCCAATGAATTTTATTTATTTATTTATTGTGATTTTGCAGTTCCAGAGTAAAAGAATAATGGCAGGATCCCCTTTTGATGATCACAGGGCAGAACCATCTTTGCAGCAATCGATGGAGACGCCTCCACAGTTGGATATGCACCGGGCTGAATTATCTAGACAGCATGTGAGAGCTCTCAATACCCAATTTGCAAGGTCTATTCTTTACTATTCAGCTCAATGTGCTCTTTTTCTTTTTTCTTTTTTTCTGTTTTTTTTTTGGGTTAGTTAAAGACTGATTGGCTTGGCTAGTTTTTTGTTTATCTGCTTTAGCTGAAAAGAACACTGTTGCAAAATTATTAAGGGGGCAATTGATGAATATTAAGATTTTGAAGAATGAATGATTGGGTCTTTTTAGATTTTCTTTTTCTTTTTCCTTCTCCTCCACCTACTTTCATTCTTCTTCCCAAATAGAAGTTTTGTTACGTTGGTCTCTAACATTTAGCCATATTGCATAATGCGCATGAGTTTCTCCATTTGCTTAATGTATAAGTGGAGATTTTTTTCCTGTAATTTTGATTTTTGTGACAAGTTTATATCTTTCCATGTTAAACATTGCGTTGTTTATGGTAAGCAGTTGGGTCCAAACACAATTAGAGAATCACCCTGATGAACTTTGGGAAGATGGAGTCCAAGATTACCTAGCTCATGCATCAAACATAATGGTAATTATCTATAACTGTTTAGTAATTTGTAAATTAATGGTTCTTGCTCATTTTTCATTGCTTAACTTGCTTATAAATGGTCAATTGGGGTTGCATTGGAACTTTTAAATTTTAAACTAGGGATATACGTTGACTGGTTTCCCTGGGTTTCGTGAAGTTTCAAGGCGCTGTATTTACAGACCTGATGGAAACTATGCATAGCTAGATGTTTTTGTATATCACTTTTCACTTTGTCATGAACTCTTCCATAGGGGATGCTTCTCTGCTCGATTGTAAATAGTTGCAATCTTGAGAGGGAAATTTATGAAGAATAGGTGTTATTTTCTATTTTGATGATCTTCATTTATTTCCTTGCTGCAGGATCAATTTAGAGATGTTGTTAACTGGCTAAAAGCAAATGCTGTGAAAGGAGAAAGTTTCTCTGCATTGGGATGTCATGATGCTCAAAAGAAGCTTGTGCCTGAAAGTAAGGATAACCAGATAAAACCATTTCGGGAGAAAACTGGCTTTGCTCAAGCTGGTACAACTGCAAGCTTTGCACCTTCATGGAGCTCTGGAGTGCTCTTTAGCAATCAAACACCTTTTTCGTTTGGTAGGTAAAATCTCGGGCAACATTAAGGGCCTTATTTTGACATCCAACTGTGGATGCAAATTGGATAGTTGTGTACTGGTAGCTTCAATATGTCATCTGGAGACGTGTTGAACAAGTTTAACAACTTATCAGTGATTCATATGCATTTCTATGAGTTTGGACATTTTTATTTACACTATGATGACAATCTCTAGGACCCCAATTCTATGTTCTTAATGAAAGTGTAGATATATTTAACTAATATTCAGGTTATTAATTTATTATTGAAATTATGGCCCTTGATTGAGTGCAATGGCGAAACAAGATTCATGTAGACGACTCAAAGTAGTTGGGACAAAGCTTTGTTGAGTTGAACTATATTGTTTATTTCCATTTTCTTGCCAGATAATCCATTTTAAATCTCCTTTAACACAATAACCTTATAAATATACTTGCATGGGTTCATACTCCCTAACCACATTAATCTTATGACACGATTTATATTTGTTCATATTGTCCTACATTTTAGCTTTTAAATGCTAAATCAGTGGCTCTTGGAGTAGGCAACTCCTTTACAGTAACCTCAACCATCTAAAGATTTTAGTTTAGATGCTGCCAAATCTGTACTGTACAGTGCACACAACTCATGGGTCTGCTTATCGGAAAATTTTCATATAGACTTTGAAGCCTGGTCCCAATAAAATTTTTGTAATCTCATTTTCCTCAGTGTACTTTACCACCTTCTATATCAATGAAGGCAACTTATGATCACAAACTGCTTTAAATCTGGGAAGACATGCATACATGCAAGGAGATATTGTGTAGTGCTGTGCTTTATGATGTGATTGGCGTATCTGTACTTACAAAGACACATGCTGGATGAACTCAAACTTTACTAAAAGAAGATTTGCCACTTTCAGGATTTCATATCTTTTGCCTCATTATTGGTGAGATTGTTTGAAAGTGAAAATTGAGATATGATTAATTAGAAAATAATTTATAAAATCCTTTCAGAATGTGCGCCGAGAAAGTTATTAATTACCAATGGTTCAAATGATTTCCAGAGATTATATGATGAGTTCTATGAGCAGCCTCTTCCCTAAAGAATAAGGAATGCAGACAGTGTTATCATTTTGTGCCATATACTTTACATTAACTGCTTATTTTGTGAATGATTTTGTGACAGGATTTTTACCTATATTAAGTTTTTGAGAATGATCAATGTAGTACATGCACACACACATGGTTATTTTTTTAAAACAGAAGGTTTTACCTTAGCAGCATAAAAAAGAGAAAAAAGGTCATAAAGACACTTTCCCCTTTCTATCGTTTCTATTTCCTTTCATGTTTCCTTTTTAAGCTAAGCTTTCATGCCACATAAATCACAAGGGATTTCCACAAAGGAGAGGAAAATCATATTGGGAAAGATGTTAATATTATCTTCTTGACAGGATTCCCCAACATATTAAATTTTTATTATTTCAGTGCCATTTTTTCTATGCAGATCAGGGTTTTTTTCTTTAAAATTAAAAGCCAGGTTTTCTATACTTTTTAAGTTCTGATTTGTTTCAAGACAATCATGTGGCTTAAATATTAAGATCAGAAAATTGTGGTATTAAGTAAATCTATTGAATCTGAAAACTCATAACTTCACTAAATTTCTCAGTGAAAATGCCATAAAAGTTGGGTACTTTGAAATCTAATGGATAATATTTTTAACTAGTGTGTGTCTTCGTGAATTCTTGGACATTAATGGAATAATAATAATCTTTATATATTTCTCTTTCCTTTATATTATCATTCTTATTATGATTTTTTTTTTTCCCCGTGCACTGCATGTGCACATTAACTAATGTTTTTATCCATTAGCTGTATGTAGTTTGTAGCCCTTTCACAAATCAATGGTTTAATTTCTTCCAGGTTGCCGATAGCCTCAACTGAGTTGGTTTGGCTTTCTTGTACCTATATTGCCTTCAACTTGAACCTTGTCATCCTTGCTTTCGGTGCAGTGATTGGTTATTGTGCATAACCATCCATTTGTTTATTCATGTCTCCTATTTTTTGCGCTCGTGCTTCAGTATTCTGATTGAGGCACATGTCACCTTTGTCTCATTTCAAACAGTAATTGATTTTGTTGCCATTATCTCTTTATTCTTTCAGCATTTTTGCAGTTTTCATTAAACTGCCTTTTTTTCTTTTCTTTTTTTCCCCACTAAGGAATTCCTAATGTAATTTTTGACAATACAAAAACATTTTTTGTCATCACCTAAAAAACTAAAGTGCTTGAATTTTTATTTTGTGATATTTCACAAGTCTCTAGGGGACATTAATTCTTATTGTAAGTGCGCAACCCCCTCCCCCCCAAAGAGAGATAAAGAGAACTTGATCTTTTTGTTCACATGTGTGTATTGCATTCAAATTTGGACTTTTAAATAAAACTTAGAGAGCATATGAATATGCTTTTGAGGTTTAGAATTGAAACTTTGTCAAGACTTTTAATATTTCTACCAATTGTAGTTGTTCTACAGAATTTTGCCATTAACTGTTAATTTGCATGTGTTTGTATGAATTTTGAAGTCCTCCATTTGTTTTTTTGTTTCAGGAAGCCAAGGTTCAGCTCTCTTAAAGAATGATGCTTCAAATGATGAAGATGATGGTGAGACATGGAACCTCTTCTTATTTTATGTCCATAGTGATCATAATCATTTTTCATACTATTACTCTAATGAAAACCTTGCCACCCTTTCTAAGGCTCATGTTGTCTAAACTAGCAAACATCATGTGCATTCAATTTTATTTGTTGTGTTAATGAGTTATTCACTTTTTATTGTTGCAGAAGTATGGATGTCATATGCTTTCAATGTTTTGACTTAAATTGGCACATGGTTAGATACATCTGTGTAGCTGGGTTAAACCTAGTTGTAGGTTTCTTTCCATTGATTTAACACTGTGGATGCTTACAGTTGCCTAAATTTTATGACAATAAAGCATTTGGGGCTATGCTTAGGAATCAAATTCAATCCGATTTCCACCCTAACCTGACCCTAGTTAGATGGGTTGGGGAACCAATCAAATGAATCAAGTGCAGCCTGCTAACCCATCATGAACTAGGACCGGGTTTAAGGGTTCCTGCCCTACTCATGTTTATGGTTATGGTGTTAAGCTTGATATGCAAAAGTAATCGTCCCACATCGGAATAAGTAAAGCTGATGGTCATTCCTTTCCATTTAAAACACCACAACTGTCAAGCCATGGCTATATTATATGGTGCAAAGGACGTACTTGCCTGACACATCATAAAAGTTAGCTTTTCCTTGAAAACTTTGAAGTAGTGACTAGTGACTAAATTAAAAGTTTTGCTCACAGTGGAAAATTGGCCATTCCTTGTTCATCATCTTCATAGGAATAAGAGACTTTACTAGTGTGAATTAAAATATCTGATGAATGTGAGAAATATGGTCTGAAATGGGAAGTTATTCTCTGCTCATGTGTTCTTTTTTGTTCTTTCTTACTTCTATTTTTTGTTATCATCAGGAGACTTGAAGCAACCTAGCAGCCCATCAGTGAAAAAGGCTGAAGAGAAGGGTATTATTGTTGTACATGAAGTCAAATGCAAGCTTTATGTAAAGGTAATTTGTCTATGCAAATAACGGACAGTATCTTTATTTGAGATGCTAATGCTCAATTTTTTTTTATTTTTCTCTCAGGTTTGTGGTTTAACAATACCTTTTGCAAGCCTTCAGATGAACTGGAAATTGGCATTCTTCCTTGTTTCTATATGTGAATAAGAAAAAGTTAACTTCTTTTACCTCATGAATATAACTTTTTCATCATCCTTCTAACATCACACAAGATAAAGATGACTACTGCAATGTATGATTGATATGCTGACATTTTTTCCCTTTTCTGGTGGGTTGGATGGGGACCTGCATCTTGGCGGTATCATTAATTTTCTATGTATATATTTCCCGTAAGGGAGCAATAAATTCAGTGTAAACATTAGATATATAAGCTTAGTAGTAAATATCAATTTATATGGTGTGTTTGCTTGCACACTGCACATTGTGGGCATGCATGCATCAGTCACATATAGACACCACAGACAAACATAAATGTAATGTCCTGAAATTACACATGGTATTTATTATGCCTGAGTTTTGGGCCAAGGTAGTCTCCCCTTCATATTTGGGCACGGAAAATTGTCTCAATCAAGATTTGCGATCATTAATAAAAATTCCATCTGTGCAAATCAAAGTAGCACTACTGTCGCATGCTATGGCGAGCACAAAAATGCTTAGATCAATGTCATCTGCGATTGGTTTGCATCTTAAGAAGGATAATAGGGAGGTCTAGCATGAAGTCGTACAAATCCTACATTCTTTGTGCTTTTGTAGATATCTCATCTATATTCCAGAGGTCCAGTTACACCTACATTCTTCGTGATTTAATATTACTTTGAAGTTTTTTCTGGGACTCAGATATTAAAATTGTCATTCATCTTGTGCCGCTCCCACGTGTCATACTTTTGAAACATCATATACATCCAATCTCTTCGTGCCTCTACCTAGAAAAAAGAAACTTCCTTCCTGTTAAGAAAAAAGAAGAGGCAAATTTGAAATATTCATCGGGGCACTGCTTCTTGTAATTTTGCATCAACAGCGTGTAGTGCATTGATGAGTTGGGCACTGTTTACATCTGCCTGCTTTTATATAATATAATATTAAGACATTTGATTTTCTTATGGTTAGTTCTTTTCTTTTCTGCTTTGTTCAGTCAAGTGATCCTGCAGATAAAGATGCATGGAAAGATAAAGGCACTGGTCAGCTTGCTATCAAATGTAAAGAGGGTGTTAATAAGGGCACAAGAGAATCCAAGCCAACAATTCTCGTTCGAAATGACGTATGTTTCTTCTTACTGTTTTTGCTTCTCCCAACATGAATTCAGCTTGAAATCTTGAGTTTGTAATGAATCTTTGATTTTTGTTTCTGTTTTTTTCTTCTTTGCAATTTTTCCTACTTGTTCATTATTTGTCTGACATGTGCGAAAAATGTACTTACATGTACATGCATACACCTGTCCATATAGGGAAGAGCTGAGACACACCAGTGGTTTACGTTAAATTAAGAACCAAGGCTCAATTTCAACCATAATTATACTTCTGTGCCCTTTTTGCTTATGGCAGGTGGGGAAAGTGTTGCTAAATGCATTGTTATATCCAGGCATCAAGACGAACATGCAGAAAAATTCCATTGTTGCGATATTTCATACGGCGGTAATACTTCTTAATTAAATTATTCAAAATACACTTTTGTGGGGGAAAGACAGGGATGATTTGTCATCCGTCATTTCTTCTGCAATAAATTCTGCTGTTTCATGCAAGGCTCCAGGCATGGTAAATCTTGTCGATGAATTCATAAGTGAGGCCAACAAATCGAGGTTCTTATTTCTGCTGCATGATAATGGAATAACTATTCTATTTATCAAAAAACAAAAAAATTGGGATAACTATTGTGTTATATAAAGTGTACACCTGAGTTGGGTTGGATGCTGTCACTTCTTGTTTTTTTTTTCAACTTTTCCAAGAATGCCTTTACAACTAGTAACTGTCACCCTTTCCCACTCAGTAACTGTCACATCCAGTGACAATAAGAACAATTTTTTTCCTTTGTCAAACTGTCCAAAACTGCTATTAGTTTCCTCAACCATCATACTATCCAAAAATTTAAATATAATATTGCAAATGTGTTTGCACCCACTGCTGGTATATATATATATGCGGGAAGGATTTTCATGGGTTGCTTTTTGCGGAAATTTTCTCTGAAGCATTTTTTTTAATGCACTTTATAGTGGGAAATTTCACTTGCGTTTTTTGTAGGGTGACGTGGGAAACAACGACAGTGACAGTAACGGTGTCGTGGCACGTACCTTCTTAATAAGAACAAAAACTGAGGAGGATCGGAATAAGCTTGCAGCAGCAATTCAGGAATATGCCCCTCCTGCTTGAAAATACACATGGAAATGATTTTCCATCACATTGTACAACCCTTGAGCTTCAACAAAATTGCAAATGCAAAAGTTGTGTAGGGTGGTCTTGTTGAAGCTGAAGAATCCTCCTGTTCTTCCAGAGGGATGTCGAGCTCCAAAAATCTACCAAGCGGAGCCAATATTCAGGAGTAGACAATATTTTCATATGTACAAGAGGCTAATGCACCTGTATCATGTAGAGAAGAAAGGATGTTCTCCTCCAAAGTGAGTATTTTACATTCTTTTTTTTTTCTTCTAATTATCATGCAAGGATTAGCAAAGAACTTGGCTTGAGTAGCTCCTATTAAAATGCCTTTACATGTTGGTCATCTCTTCTGAACATTTCTATTCTGGGTAATGCTAGGGACACCAAATTTTCTACCAAATAAATGACCAAATGTCTCACATGGGTTTGTGGGCTCCACACTCATGTGAGATATTTGGTCATTTATTTGGTAGAAAATTTGGGACCTCTAGCATTTTTTTTGTTTTTATTTATTTATTTATTTATTTTCTTGCCCCTTTGTCTCTGTGCTGTTGCGCGCTGTCCAAAATAATTATTTTTTTGTTAGAAGCTGGGATAAGAGACGGGAAATCTCATGCCGAGTAAAAAAAAAATAGAAAATTTTTTTTTTTTTCTCACCACCAGAATGTTGTTGGCTCATTGGCAAAGAGAAAAAAATGATACAATGGAATGAGAAAAATTGTGAATGGATTTGTACATTTTTTTTATAGGAGAAATTTTTTTTGTAGTTTAGGGAAAATAATTGCAAATAGGTGGAGAATCTAAAAAATTATAAAATGAGAAGTTGAAAAATAATTGCAAAAAGGAAATTTATTAGGTAAATTATATGGATGTACCCCGCAGTTGGCCTAGTTACACTAAGCCTTATTAGTATATAATAATTACATTGTTCTCTTTTAAAATTGCATAACAATTACCCCCAACCTTTTAACCTGTTTTTGTCTTTTATCAATTGGATATTAACCTTTGATCCTGATGATGAAGATACTCAACTCATTTGGTATGTATTTTTATTTTAAAAAATTTATAATTAATTTACAAAATTTATTAAATTCTTAACACGAAAAAAAAATTATTATTTTTTTATTTTAAAAATCATTTCTTTTTCCTTCTCCCTACCCCCTGGTTTCTACCCTCTGTACACACATTCAACCACCATCACAAATGATCTCTATTGACAATTACATCTAACCACTACCTTTCACCAGCAACAGTCACTTTCAGTGACTTTTTTTTTTAAATAATGTTTTCCTATAATCATCACTTTTCGCGACCAATAACCATTTTTCACTGGTGGTTACCACCTCTAATCAGCACTTCTAGTAGTCAACAATCATTTCCTTATCACCATTTTTTATTTTTAGATAATTATTTCTTGTCAATTATAACACTCATCTCACTTATTTTTAGGCACCGTTTGGGAAGTGATTTTGTGAGCTTTTTTAGTTATTTTAGTCACAAAAGACAAAATGTGTTATTTTAGTCACAACAAATAAAACATTACATCCAACTCATAATCATTACACTATTCTCTTACAAAAAAAATTAAAAAAGTCAAAAAGCCAAAAATCCTTCCCAGACCAAATTTTATAGTCCAGGCTAAAAAAGTCAAACAGTCAAAAAAATCAATCCACTTTCCAAACCAATCCTTAAAATAACATTTTAAAATGTGTTACCAAATATATATATATATTAATATTTCTAATATTTTTTGGAAAAAAAAAATAATACCAAACAATACCTAACTATTTTGATTTTGATTTTTTTTAATAACTTCAACAATAGTTTATAAGAGGGGCAATTAGGATATCCGAAGAAACGAATGGGATAAAATTAATTTTAAAAAAATGGAAATAAAAGACAGGAATCTGATAGTAATGGATAATGGACACGTGGAATCAGACACATAGATACGGTGGTAGATAGATAGATAGATTAGATTTGTTTATTTATTTATTTATTTATTTTTTATCACAGTGAGAGTCTATTTATAGATAGATACGTTGCCTCCGTTTGGGAAGTGGGTTGGCTTTTTGGCTTTTTGGTTTTTTTGGCTATTTTAGCCTGGGCTTAAAAGCTTGATTTGGGAAGGGCTTTTTGGCTTTTTGGATTTTTTGAGTTTTTTTGTGAGAGAAGAATATAATGATTATGGGTTGGATGTGATGTTTTGTTTGTTATGGCTAAAATAGCCTATTTTGTTTTTTGTGGCTAAAATAGCCAAAAAAGCCCAAACCATGGCTTCCCAAACGATGGGTTATGGTGGGTTTGTTTAAAACACATATTATTTTTTATGATTTGAAAAATTAAAAATACTTCTTTATTAGAATTTTTTATTTAATAGAGTTAATTAAAAAAATAAAATTTATAATTACTCTCCTATATAATAATAAAATTATTTAAATTATTAATTAAAATATATTTTTAACATCATTAAAAACTGTTAATTAACTTTATGATTTATTAATAAAATGGATGATTTGTTATGAAATTAAAAATCTCATAAAATGAAATGTAATTTTTAAAACCAGAAGAGACGATTCGTATTTTAATCAAATATCAGAGGATGCGTTTATAATTTACCCATATTTTATACAAAACAAGAGAGAGAGAGAGAGAGAGAGAGAGAGAGAGTAGAGCTTATGGAGATGAGATGTGATGAATCTTTGAAGGCCTGAGTGATTGATTCTGTGTGATGAGGGGCTTGTTTGCTTTGTATTTCAAGATGTAATTTTTAGAGTTTTTTTTTTTTTTTAATTTTGTTTGGTTTAAATTTTTTTTAAAAAAAAATTCAAAATCACTTTCCCTCCTACGTATCAATCAATTACCTTTTCTCATTTCTTTCTAATTCTCAATCATTTTTTCTCTCACATGTATCTATTCAACTATAACAAAATAGTAAGGGTTCGTTTGAGAAGTGAGTTGGCTTTTTAACTTTTTGGCTATTTTAGCCTAGGGTTGAAAATTCTCCTTGGGAATTATTTTTTGATTTTTTTGACTTTTTATGAAAGAAATAATGTAATGATTATGAATTGAATGTGATTTTTTTCTTATTGAGTTAACAAACTTATTTTGTCCTTTTGTGGCTAAAATAATTCCAAACTCACCCAACCCATTCTTCCTAAACCAAGCCTAAGTCATTATAAACTCTCAAACTCTAAAACTATTTTCAGGCTTGGTTTGGGAAGTGGGTTGGCTTTTTGGCTTTTTGGCTTTTTTGGCTATTTTAGCCTGGGCTTAAAAGCTTGGTTTGGGAAGGACTTTTTGACTTTTTGACTTTTTTGAGTTTTTTTGTGAGAGAAGAATGTAATTGATTATGGGTTGGATGTGATGTTTTGTTTGTTATGACTAAAATAGCCTATTTTATTTTTTGTGGCTAAAATAGCCTAAACTCTCTCTTCAAATTTTTTTTTATTTTAAATTTATCTCAAAACACAAATCAAACACACCTAAGATATCTGTAATCAACCAATCATTGTTAATCGATATGTTATTTGGTGTTCTTGCACAATGACTAAATCGCAATTATTTGTGTTGAATGATTAAAAAATAATTAAAAAAAAAAGTTTATATTGGGTAATTAAAAAATAAGAAGGGACATTCCGAATTGCAATAGGTTAGGCGTAAAGTCCCGACCTGGGGAGTATTATAATTTTTCGAGTTAACCACTATTTCTTCTCCAAACCCAACATATGTAAATTTCCAATTTTGCCCCCTTTGACTGTTGGTTTTTTCTTTCCTCCCCTTCCAATGACCTTAGGTTTTGTTTGGAATATCCTAAAATGAGTAACGCTTTTTAAGTTTGAAAAAGTCAGAAGTTAAAGTTTGTTAGGGAGAGGAGAGGTGGTTTTGAGAATTGTTTTTTTTAAAAATAGATATAATAGTTAATTTTTTTGTATTAAATTTTTAGTTAAAACTTTTGGTAATTTGAAATTTTACTTAAAAAGTCATTGCAATTAATTCAAATTATTTTCTTCACTTTTTTACACGTCTTTTTATATAAAAAAATTATATAATAGTCAATTTCCAAAACAATCATAAATCATATAAATATACATTCTGTTTTGTTTGATTTTCAGAATAGGTTTTCATAATTTTAAATAAAATAAAATAAAAATGAATTTGGTATAAAAAAAAACTTATCATTTATATATAGTTTGTCTTTTGAGAGTATAATTTTTTTGTTTTATGTTTATTTTTTAAAATTAATTTATATATATATATATTTTAAATTCTGAAAATGATTTTAGAAAATCAAATCATAGTGTTCTTAGCAAATTTGTGGAAGGGCAATTACTTTAAAAACACTTGCCAAACACGAATCATACATTAGCCCTCCACAAACTATAGGACTAACCTGTCTTCTCCTCACGTGAGTGATAATGTCACCTCGGGGACCTTTAGAAGCCTGACATAATAGAAAAACAGGTACAATGATGGGAATCACCGGTACTTATTTTTTGTAAGGTGAATTCTTAAATAAATTTATAAAAAGCACTAAAAAGTTAAAAAAATTGCACTAAAATATTGAAGTGTCCTTGAGACACAAAAATTGATATACGTTTTAGGGTTTTATAATCACGTGTGTTTGTATTATGATACAATTAAGCCTCCGTTTGGAAAGTGGGTTAGTTTTTTAGTTTTTTAGTTTTTATGGCTATTTGAGCGTGGGTTCAAAAGCTTGGTTTGGGAAGAGTTTTTTGACTTTTTGACTTTTTTGACTTTTTTTGTGAGAGAATAGTGTAATGATTATGGGTTGGATATGATGTTTTGTCTGTAGTGGCCCAAATAGCCTATTCTGTCTTTTGTGGCTCAAAGAGCCAAAAGAGCCCAAATAAACTCTTCCCAAACGACACCTAAATTATACAAACTGTGACTCTATTTTGAAAAATTCTACAACTACACATTTTTTTTAGGTGTGTATTAGTATATGGTTCTCAAGCTAGGTTTGATTTTTGTTTTTTTGTTTTTGTTTTTTTTGACTAAAAAAAACACAAAAGATAAAATTGACTATATATAAGTTAATAAGATAAAATATCGCATACAAAGTATAATCATTACACTTTTTCTCTCGCAAAAGTTAAAAAAGCCAAAAATAAAATCAAACGAGACTAAAATAGCAAAAAAGTTAAAAGGTCAGGCTATTTTAGCTCTTTCCAAACAAAGATTCAAGTTATGGCGTTTATAAGTTTTGATAATAATTTATTATGGTGTTAGTTACGATATGATTATGATTTGATTATACACATTGTGATATTAATCATGATAAATTATTATATTAGTTATGATATTATTTTGATTATGATCGAAAAAATCTTTGGTTATATCATATCTGATGATTTGTCATAACTCAATTTTTTTCCTTTAGTGACCTTCAATGATTCAGGCCTATTTTGGCAAGTGATTTTTTTTTTTTGGCTTATTATTTTTTTTTTTTGAAAAAATGTACAAAAAAAAGTAGAGAGTTGATGTGATCCAAATAAGTCAATAACTTGACTTTTTTCCTAGTTGTCAAAATAGGCCTCAATTATGATATTTGTGTGATAATTAACCCAACAAATATCATAACTTACATATAGTACAAACAATAGCACAATCCTACTCACTCGGATTGTTTGGTATAATTATTACTATACGTATTTGCCTCCGTTTGGGAAGTGGGTTGGCTTTTTGGCTTTTTTGGCTATTTTAGCCTGGGCTAAAAAGTTTGGTTTGGGAAGGGCTTTTTGGCTTTTTGGCTTTTTTGGCTTTTTTTGTGAGAGAAGAATGTAATGATTATGGGTTGGATGTGATGTTTTGTTTTTTGTGGCTAAAATAGCCTATTTTGTCTTTCGTGGCTAAAATAGCCAAAAAAGCTCCGTTTAGCTCTTGCCAAACGGAGGCTTTGTCAAATTATTTAGTGTAATTTTTGTTTATAATATAGGGAAAGGCTATGATTTCCCTTAAATGTGTATACTATATGTACTTTATAACTACAGAATAAAATAACATAACTCTATACTTTATGAGTCATAATTAAAAATAAAAATAAAATAAAAATCATAACTAAATATTTCAAAATTATATTATAACTAAAAAAGAAAATTAACCACAATTAAAAAAGAAAATAGCTTAACCAAATGTAAATACCATATGGAGTATATATAATAGAATTCTCCTACAACCTATTACTTATTAAATAAAAATAACTTAAATAAATTTAAAGTATCTAAAAGATGGAAGAGAAATGTTTTTAATTTTTACATTTTTATTATTAACTTTTGACTTATAAAAATTTGACTTATAAAAATTTGAATCAGATAAAGCATAACAAACCATATGATTAGGGCCATTTAAGAATATGAGTTAAAAGTCGAAAGTTAGCATTTAATTTATTTTGGGTTATATCATATCTCACATAAAATAATAAAAAAAACAAAAAATATTAGAGATCTCAAAAGTTCTACCGAAATTTCTACTAAATGTTTCACATGGATCTAAGATCCACATGGGACTCACGTGGTGTGGGTCACCTATGTGAGATATTTGGTAAAAACTTTGGTACAACTTTTGGAGTCTCTAGCATCACTCTAAAAAAAAACTTAAAAAATTCACAAGTCAATTTTTAACCATCTTTTCAACACACTCCATTATGTCTTTCTAATTTTACAAATACATGCTTTACTTTGGTCACTTATTTACAATTCCGCTTCCATTAAAATAGTTTGCAATAGTGACATGTTTATTTATTATATTGTGGTGTTTTGAGAAATTGGTAAAAAATTATTTTTTTTATTTTTTGACTTTTGTGGTGACTTTTTTGACAAAAAACTAGATTATTTTGGATAAAAAAATTAATTTTTTCAACTAAAAAAACTAAAAAGCAAAAAAATTGATTTTTTTGGCAACTTCCCAAAAGACTCCATTTTCTTACAAAATAGACACCAGTCAACAATAATAAATGCACAATAGATGTAATTATAAAAAAAATTAAATTAAAAATGTAAGTGTAGTATATTATTATTGAGCTCACTTACAAGACTTGACCAGCACAATCTATGTTTATGATGAGTTTTATTTCGGTAATTAAATTTTTTTTTGGTCTCAAAATAATATTGTAATTTTTTTGAAGCAATTCAATTTTTTTTAAATACAATTATTATATTTTAAAAATATTAATTTTCTAAAATTACCTTTCGATAGTATATTTTTTTGAAAATAATAATTATCATAATTGTATTTTTTTTATTATTAATGAAGTTTTAAAAAGGACAAAATAGAAAATTTATATTATTTTAATCCTAAATTTTTGAAAAGGAACTAATATTTTGGAATAATAAAAAATGAAATAAGGGACTAATATTTTAGAATAAAGGCCTCGTTTGGAAACATGCTAATTTAGTAACTTTTTGACTATTTGGTTAAAATATGAGCTAAAAAAAACTAGTATGTTTGGGATGATTTTTTGGTTTTTTACGAAAAGATGTGCAAAAAGTAGAAAGAAAATAGAATTTTTGATTTTTTTGTATGAGTTGTTGGCTTTTTGATTTTTTTAGTGACTTTTTGACTTTTTTGCTAAAAAAATCACTTGCTAAACGAGGCCTAAATGTTTATTTTCTAAGTTTTTATATATATATATATATTAAATATTAAATATTAAATAAATCAAATTGATTTGATAATCATACGTATTTTAATTGATCGAAAGCCAGGCAATAAGTTAAAAAAATATACTATCTATTTTTTAAAGACAAATATATTGAAATGTATGGTTATAATTATTAAATTAATCTAAACGCATTCAAACTACATAGGCTATGTTTATTTTAACGGATTGAATTAGATGAGAATAATATTTTAAGACAGTTAGATTATCAATCATTTGGATCATGTATCATACCATGTTTGGATAAGCATAAAATTGATAAAATTCTATTAATTTCGTAATTTAGCCAATTCATCTGAATATCTCCTTAATCTCCTATTTGTGTATCACATTCATCTCTTGAAATTTATTAATTTCCCATAGATGGAGATATCATATCCAAGTAAACTATTAGTTCATTCCTTATTTATTTTTTAACTAAACATAAGATTATATATTTCATTAGACTATATTTATTCAATTCGATTATAATATTCATTCAAACAAACCTAATTATAATAAAATTACAGATATCTCATTATCTGCAATAAATTTTTCTTGCCGAAAGCTAGGGGATGTTGATGTTAATGACACATATTTATTGCTTTAATTTTGTTTATTTTACACATACATTTTTATTTATTTTTAATGAAATTCAGTCATGTAATTATCATCTTTCTCTCTTAACATCTATATTTTTGGATAATCATTTTATTTGTTCTAATTACCTTTTGAGAAACTTTTCCTGATGTGAAAAGTAAATAATCATTATAAAAAATATGAAAAATAAAAAAAAGTAGTAAGTGGAAGTTGATAAAAAGTGCGTGAAAGAATCTTATAGCTTTCTGCTCCCACTGTGCAATTGCATGAAAGTCCTAATATAGGGTTGGTAAGGTATTTTCCTACTTTTACATTTATGCCATTGATAATTATATATTTTAATCAAAAAAAAATTATAAATTGTCATATTATTATTTTTAATTTTATATGTATTTTTTTATAAAAAATTAAAAAGTTACTAAAATAATTTATTTTCAAATGAGATTGTAATTTTATTTGCATGTTAATTAAATTTTTATTGCCTTAATTAAAGTACACACTTTTTGCTTGAAAATAGTTTGGAGGACGATTGGCTCATGATTATAGAATTGCTAATTAGTGTAGAATAATATCACAATTTACTTTTTGTTATTTTATTTTCTTTCAATGTGCTTATTTTTTCATGATAATAAAAAATGACAATAATAGGCGTTAAACAACTGGAGACTCTAAATGCATCTCATTAATTTGGTTGGACATTTCAATTCTTTGAACACCGAAATCTAAAATTTGAACACCCCAATTAATTTCATGTTTAATACTATTCTACCCCTATTTTACTTTACCGTCAAATCCATTTCTGCTGCCAAAGCCATATTTGACACCCGTAATCTTCTTTTTTTTTTTTTTCCGTCGTCCCTACCCATTACCCCATTTGCAACCCCATCAACTCTCATGTCCTCTACAACCATGTCGACCTCATTTTCTTACTTCTTTTACAACCCCATCGCTCCCATTTCTCCGCTACATACCCATTATTCTTCTTTTTTATTTCAGAATCCTTCCCTCTTCGTGAAACCCAACCTATCGCTAGCCTCCTTTATTCGTCGTGAACTTCATTTCCTACTGTAAAACCCTAGATTTGAAAATATCTAGATTGCGACCCCTCATTTCGTGATGCAAAACCTTAGATCTATTTTTCAGATCCAGGGTTTAGAGGATAAAAAGGAGGAGGAGGAGAATAAGAAAGGCAAAGAGGCAGCGACAGTGGAAAAAATAAGAAAATAGTGGTATTGGTGAGTGTAACAAGTAGTCGCAACAGCGATGAGGAGTAAAGAGGATGGTAGCGATGGAAAAAGGAGTTGGGAACAATTGTGAGTCCTACCTTCTTCACTAATTACAAATCTTTTAGTAATCACCTAATCATAACTTAAAAGCACTAGATATTTCTTCAATAATAACTTGTTATTGTCATAATATGTTCAAATCCATTAAAACATTCCCCAAGATGGTTGCTTTTATGTTTACAAATCAATTTTTTTTTTAAATGTTAAGTAATAATATACAAAAACAAAAACAAAAATTTCATATGATATAAACCTTTTAATTTAAACAAAACACCAATAAATATGAATTTTTATTTATTTACAAAATTGACATCAACGATAATAAATCATTTTTGTGTTTTTTTCTTTTTATTTAAAAAAGGGGGATTTTGTTCGGGTATGTATTTTGAGTATGAATGATGGGGATTTTGGACCCATGAACTGCAATTAAATGAAATTTTCCCATAATGAAATAACTCTCAAGAGTGGAAAAAGTTTATTTTAATTGCATCACCAAGTCCCTCGTAAAGTAAATTTTAGAAACTCCTTTGTCAATTTGGCAAAAAGTCCCCTCTTTTTATTTTTTTATTTTTATAGAAAGGTAAATGTCACTATCGTAATTTCTCCAAAATAGGAAGGGTTTTGTTTCCCTAACATCTGACACAAAACCACATAGCCTTTGTCGCGGCTTCGGTCTCTCTCTCTCTCTCTCCCCAACTCTTCTCGAAAGGAACCGACGGCGCTACACTTTCTCTCTCTAAAAATATATACATGTATATGTGTATGCATACATGAGTCTATCTCTTCTTACAGCCCCGATACTCTTGTTCTTATGCCCTCGATTTCCTCACAATTTACAATTTTGTCTGCTCTTTTTTAATCTGCTTTAATCGATAGTCTCGTGAGTTCTTGAGAGTGTGCCCTCCTCTCTCTCCCTCTCTCTCTCTCTCTCTCTAGCTTCGAACAGTTCTCACTCAGAGTAAAGAGACACTCCAAGCCCGAGAACAGGTTAGAGAAAGTTAAAGTAAAAGTTTCATCTCTTTTATGTAATCTCGATTCTAGTATCTGGGTTTTGTTTGGTTTTTTTGTTTTGTTTTTGGGTTTTTTTTTTTGGATTCTTTGTTTGTGATGATATAGGGTGTGCATGTTTATGTATATGTGATTATGTACTTTTGTTTTTATTTGCTTTGATTGTTTTTGCTTTCTGATTAATATCTGATTTGGGTTTGATTTCTCTGCCGGGTATTTTGCCTTTTACACACACACACACACACTCATATTTGTGTCTATATATAAATTTTGCATGTAATGATGAATTTGGGTTTTGATGGGTCATAAAGTGGGGATTGGGCAATGTGGTTGAGTGATTTTGATTGGGCTTTTGAGCTGATTAAAGGTATGAATTCATGGAAGCAAATTGATTCTGTTTAATTTGAGGACTGACATTGGCTTTATTTGGTGAGTCTTTTGCACGTTGTGTTGCTTTTGGTTTTTCAAGGGTTTAAAATTGGATCTTTATGAAATGTGCTAAGTAAGCATGTATCTGATCATGAGTTCTATTAATGGGATTAGTAATTGATTGTGTATACTGACAGGGATGCGGCTCTGATCGTCCACATGCGTTGATAGTCTATTGTTTGGGGCAATTTAGGAGGGAACTTGTGTTTTTGATCACAGGTTACAATGATCACTTATTAAATGTGGTTTTTCATTTATTTTTATTGATTAATTGGCATGTGACAATTGTGTCGTCTGTTCATTGTTTTGATAAGTAATATTGTTTTGTCAGTGGCAAGCTATTACTGCATGTGTTCTATGTTACACGAGTCCATGCGCAACTCAGGCATTCGTTTTCCAAAATTAGTTTCATTCCATTTTTAAAGCTTGGATTTTGGACAAACGGTAAGGTGTGTCGTGCGTCCCTAATGCTGCAAGTTTGAGTCACGGAATAGCCTCTCCAAAAATGGGTGTAAGGCTGTGTATATTTTGCACTGCCTAGGCCTCACTTTAGCAGAGCCTCGTGTGCTGGGTTGTTGCCCATTTTATTTTGGACAATTTTGAGAAGTGTGTCCACGAATTACATTTTTTCTTTTATTTTTTATCAGAAAAATTTAGATATTTATGAGAAAAATGTAAGAGAGGGCCGCCAATGATTGTTAGGAATTTACAAAGAGGAGTTGGGATCCCGTAAGCGTGTGAGATGGGTGTAACACTCAGCTTAAGTATCCAAAGCATATTTTAAGTAATATACAATAGTGTTTTATCCTATCCCTGAGTTTTTTTTAAAGTTCTTACGAATAAATTGTTTGTCAGGTTGTAAAAGTTTCTCATGGGATTTTAGCTTGAGGGCTAGAATTATAAGTTGCTTTTGAAGGAAAGTTATAATGTTATCTTTATGTGTCTGTGGGTTGAAGCAATTACATCTTAACACCTTAAAAAATTCTGGACATTAGCTGGCTCCTTTGAAGGGAAAATTGACATTTAAAATTTTTTGGTGATCATCTATCATCTATACGTCTTAATTTCATTCTGCATCCCAATTCTTTTTTCTTTTGAGCTAGTAGTTTTTCTTGGGATTCCCATGTTTTCTACATATAAGTTTCCGATGCTTGAATTAAGTTCATGCTTGTGGTTCAATTTCTGTACTAGGGTTCAATGCTGATATGATCACATTGACTTGACATATTGGAGCACATTTTTTTTTTTTGTATTTTATTTGTTTTGCTTTACTGGAATTGTAGAGCTCATATTTTTAGTACCTTTCAGTGACAAAATAGCTATATACTTCACTGCTGACATGATCACAATGCATAACTGGAGCACATTTTATTTTTTCTAATCACAATGTTGTGCATAATTGAAGTCTAAGAAGCATGGATACGGATACAATACGATACAGATACGGCGATACGACAAAATTTTAAAAAATAGGATGTAGGTATGCCTAGGTTATGTTTGTGAAACATGTTTTTTTTAAATTATTAGTAGTGAGTTACACATATGCTAGAGAGTGTTGAGAAATCACAATGTAATTTTATAATGCAAAATATTAACATTTTAGAATTAGATATTAATTTAAGCTATAGCTTGTTTATTTTTTAAATTTTTAATAGGTTTTGCAAATATTTTATTTTAATGTCAAGTCTAATATATTTATATTACAATAATATAACAATCCACAACTTGTCACTGTGCTTTTCCCTTTGGCGCTAGTAAAAAATGTTATATTCAAGTTTATTTTCTTATTTATTTATTGATATTTAATTTTACGATTGTTATATTCTATTGTTAATCCTTACTTTCTATGTAGTTATTGGGGATATGCATGAAACAATTAGGATACATCAATTTGACAAATTCTATTATTTAACTCACCATGTTCTTCTTATCAAAGAACTAAACAAAATATTAGAAAAATATTTTTATATTTGTCGTTACAATTATATTATATTCTAATACTATGCAAGAAATACTACAATTTTAATTTTGTAAAATAAGTAATACGTGATTTGGAGTATCTGATACTCAAAATGAATGAAAAATTAATTAAGAAGTATCCGATACTTTTGAGAAGTATCCGATACTTTTGATAAGTATCTGATACGTATCCGTGAGTGTCTAAAGAGTATCGGTATCTGATACAGATACGCCACCCTCCGTGCTTCATAGATTGAAGTTAATATGCTAATGTTACAGCAACTTTTGATGCTGATGTGGGATTGTGACATTCTCCTCCATCCAATCTTGTGACGTCCTTGTCACGACACGAATTGGCCCCTGGCCTACACTAGGGTCTCATATGGCTGATAAAGGTTATGACACACTTGGACTTGCTCCAGTATTACTCTGAAGAGCTTAGGTCTTGTAAAGGGTTAACCCTATAAGAGCCTCCTCGACCTAGGATGTTATACTCAAGGCACAACTTCCAAGAGACTTAACCAATTAAGTTAATAGGTTTCTTTCCTGAACATTTCTTGCAGGTTTAATTGTGCATGTTGTTTGTTAAATTATCACTAGTCCTACATGCTTATGTCAAGCTCTCCAACACCCTCCCTCATGTGCATCCCCCGTTTTGTATTGGAGATGCAAACATCAAAACATGGTGAGAAACATAATGCACATGGGGAAACAAATGTAAATGAAGAGGCTTGAACCCAAGACCTCTTATAACCAGATCTTTGATAGCATGTTAGATCACCACTAGTCCCAAAAACTTGAACTAGTACTAGGAAAGGGGACCAAGAATGCATATAAAGCTCTCCACAGCATCTTTTATACTACTTCCATAATCTCTCTTATTTTCTAATCTGTTTATGAAGGTTTTAAGTTATTTTATGTAAATGTGTTATGTAATAGTATGTCTAGCGCAGTTGTGAAATTGACTAGAAATGCATCTGTTTTGGTATCATGCTAGAATTTAATATGACATAACAAGTTAGAAAAAAACAAAGAAACCCAAGGTAAGACTAATACTTTGTGCTCTCAAGTGTTCCTTTTGGATTCAACGTGGACTCAGGTGGGGTTTGGCAATTGTTAAAAAAGTTGCTTTTTTGGGTCTTTTCAAACTTGCTTTATGGTGAGAAGTTATCATATTATCCTTATAGTATTGAGGAGTCCTTTTAGGGACACGGTAGAATTTTTGAAAGTATTTGTGGTAAAATTGTCTTTTCGAATTTGCTAAAAGACACTTTTTTGTTTATATATTTTTTTTAAGGAGAAGCCATGAGGAGTCCTTTTAGGGACACGGTAGAATTTTTGAAAGTATTTGTGGTAAAATTGTCTTTTCGAATTTGCTAAAAGACACTTTTTTGTTTATATATTTTTTTTAAGGAGAAGCCATCCCAAACAGGCTTATTTACTTTTGCCTTTTTTAGCAAAAAAATATACTTATTTAATTCTTCACAAACAGGGCCTTACTACTTCAATAATTTATTGTTTATACTTGGGGAACTTTCATTCTTCTTCACTTCTTGTCCTTTTAATGCTTCTTGTCATGTTATGTAGGTTGCTTAATTTGTTGCTGAATGAATAAGGCTTCAATGGACAGTCAATCATTTGTAGAGCTGCAAGTGCCATCGGGGGTCCTGACTGGCATAAATTTCAGTATATTAAATGACGTAGAGGCAGTAAGTATCTGTTAAATTTACATTATGTTCAACTCCTAGGTTGATCTTGCTTGGATCTCAAATGACATTGAATGAATGTTTATTTCTCAATTTGTGTGGATTGGTTGGATATAAAAACTGATTGATGCTCTTGCAAGTTATAGCTACAATTGAAAAGGTTGCCTAAGGTGTCTTATGGTCTTGGTACACGTTTCGCAGACCTGAAACTCAAGTTTTTGGCCATTGAAAAATCAAATAATAGAGGCAAACAAGAAGGGTTTTCTCTTTTGAGTTAATTTTTGTTGTGTATAATATACCTAGTGAGGTGACCAGTGACATTGTAATTTAACTTTTAGTACTGTTGTTGAATATATTTTTCCATATATGAAAATATCTGATATAATACGATAATACTGTATCAGGAAAAGGTATCGGTTTTATCAATAGATGCGGTAAATGAGGTGACAGATCCAAAGTTGGGAATGCCAAATCTAACCTCTCAGTGCCCCACATGTGGTGCCAAGGACGTAAAAAGTTGTGAAGGTGCAATGAAGAACTTTATAATGATTTTATTATTTGATGAATGTCTTGTTTTAATTCTGTTAAGTAAATATGTTATAAATCTTAATTTTGCAGGACACTTTGGGGTAATCAAATTCCGATTGACAATAATCCACCCATATTTTATATCGGAATTTGCGCAGATTTTGAATAAAATTTGCCCAGGATGTAAATCCGTTAGGCGTAATAGGGTTAAGGTGAGGAATTTTGATACTCAAACAAGGAATTTATCATTCCTTTATCATAGTATGTTGCAGATTTATTGAGATATGCTTTTATTTTTGTTAAGACCATTGAAACATGGTATTGCTCAACCATTTAAAAGATTTGGCAAGTGAGATGTATTACTAATTGGGATTGATGCTAGAGTTGTTTAATGTGTCGTGTATGTATATCATATAGCACTGCCATGAACATGAAAGCCAATTTTCCTTGGGATGTGTAAAATTAAATTTGACCATCTTTTAGACTTCCTTATGTACCATTTCCCTCTTTCAATAAAATGTACATATTCTAGACGGAAAACAAGAAATATATAAAGAATTGCTTGCGGACACCTGGAGAAAGTACGACTTTGATCATTTTCTACCATAACTCGTCCATCAGCAATTGAGAATTTTTTCTTTAGGACCTTTGTTTACTTGTGTTTTGAAGTGGTTTATTCTAAACATTAGAGGGAGGTTTTTAAACTTGTTATTCTTTTATCTTCTGTAGATATGACATTCCCCCTGCCCTTGTTTGTTTGATCATGCATCATTCGTGTTAGATTTGTAATAAACGGAAACTTCAGTCATAAATGTTATAATGCTAATAGAAGTTTGTTACTTTCATTATAGTGTTTCCCCTTAAATGTTGTAAGGCTGTGTTAGGACCATGCATTTGGGTAGGGATTTGGAAAGGGGAAGGAAAAGGGTACGAATCATTCCCAGAAGATAAGGCATTTCTCCTGTGACAAGAAGGGTGCTCACTCCAGTTTGGCAAAGCCCTTGCCTCACCAAGATCAGAAAGAACTCAATGAGCTTAACTAAGTGAGGCTAGGTAAGGCCACTTGCCCAACTGTTGGAGCACGAAGCAGCCTGGGTTCTTTGGGAATTGCTCTTGACCTAGGCAAGTGTATAGCATCAAGGTGTTCTCTTAAGTGATGGATGAGAGTTGCCAAGGTTCCGCAGGAGGGAGGTGGGGCCTTAACTGTCCCCTATGTATTGAGGCCATTTGGTAGGAGCCTATAACTCATAGGGGGACATATCGCACTTGGTCAAGCATCTGTTGATTGTTTGTTGCTTTGCCATTGGGGTGAGCTTTTCCTTATTAGTAAAAGAACTGAAGGAGTAACAAGCCATTGGGGTGAGATTTACACGTGGGATACTCAATTTTGACTGAGTACGTTAGTGACAAACTCCACAAAACATTTTGAAGTTTTTTGGTGTTCTAGTTGTTCCTTGTCATGTATAAATGTGGTAAATGGCACATTGTATTTCCAAGATCTATTTCAATGATTTTCACTACTGTTATCAATGCTCAATTAAGAACATATTTGTTCCAACTTATTTTGAGCTACCAACTTGGTTTCTAGTTTTTGACTTGCTGACAATTTTCTTATCTTGGTTTGTACGTCCCAGGGTGCTCATCCAAAATCTTGGCAGAATTGCAAATATTGTGATGTAAGATTGTCTGGTTATTGTCAAGCGTTTTGTTCCTTCTGTCCATTTTGTTTTTGTACTCATATTTTGTAAACAGGTTAGTTTCAGAGAATTTTATCCGAGAATGAAATTTAATGTTTCATCAAATGATCTGTTTGGAAAGACTGCAATTATAGTAGAAGTGCAGAAGTCAAATAAGTCTCAAAATAAAATTTCTGGAGATGGTCTGGCCACTGATTATTGGGATGTTATTCCAATAGATGCACAACAACAAGGTTTTACGAAACCAAACAAAAGAATTCTATCACATGCCCAGGTAGCATCTCTACTGATATTTCAATCTGCAATGCTTTTCTTTTTCCCTTCACTGTTCTCTCTTGTTGGATCTATGTTTTGTGCAGTTATTATGGAAAATATATTCATAGGTTGATTATATTACTCAAGGATGGAACTCGGTTCATATAAAATGATATGCTAGGTTTATCTAGTACTGCTGATATTGTATTCATTGTGAATTCTTTTAGGCTATTTAGCATAGCATTACAAACTTAGATAGGTGGATGTTGCCTTGTTATTAGATTGAACAAATATTTTTTCGCTTCTTTGAAGGTGATTTCATGTATGAGAATGTGTATGTGTCTATCTCACTCATCATATTTTTGTTTATGGGTTGAGACTTACTTGGCTGGATATAAAGGAGTTTTGAGTAGTTGGTAAACGGGAGACTGAACAGAGTGAGGTTTTGAATTCTATCGAAAAGCATTAAGTACTAACAATCATATATTGTCAGCATATAAAATGTATATTCGATTGGAAAAAGTGACCCGAAATGAGGGGGAAAAAGTAAGGATAAGATCTAAAACTTGTGTGGTTTTGAACCGTACACAGAGAAATAGGTCTGGCTTCTAATGCCTTTTGTAGAAGGTCTCTAGGAAGCCAAACTTGACCAAACTTTATTTAAAAATAAATAAATAAAATAAAATAAAAAGAAGAAGTTAAGTTGCTTTAATTTTAATTTTTGTTTTTCAGTTATCAAAGGTTTTCTTTTTGTTTTTGCTATCGCATGTTTACTCGCTTTTTTTTGTTTATCTTATTCTTATATAACTTGATAAGAAATTTTGATTCTATCTCTTTTGCCTTCAGGTCTATCATATGTTAAAAGATGTTGATCCAAAGTTTCTTAGAGATTTTCTTGTAAAAAAAAATTCACTCTTTCTCAACTGTTTCCTTGTAACTCCCAACTGTCATCGTGTGACAGAGTTCGGGCATCATGTGATTTTTGTAAGTATATCATATTTTTTTAAGTGCTCTTTTGGTCTCAGTTGATATGGTCACCGAATCACATCAAGTTGCATAACTCTTTTTTAATTTGTTTCTTATTCTTATGCTTTTACTTGGTTAACGATTTTAGGATGGACGCACAAGGGCTTTCAGAAAGCTGGTTGATTTTAGAGGAAATGCCAATGAGTTGAGTTCCCGGGTTCTTGACGGCCTAAAAACTTCCAAGGTAACATATTCTTGTATTCTCTATCATGGTAGTTAGAATCTTACGATTCACGATTCGAGTTGTGTAGTTGAATCTTAAATTGAATGAATCTTAAAATTCAATTGTGACCACTAAGCTTCCCTGCGATTCATTATGATTCACTGCGATTCAGTTTTGTTTGTATAATGCATGAAACGGCATCGTTTGCACAAAATAAAAAAAATAGATCAACTAATTATATTGATATTTGTGTACTTTTATTTGTATATACATATATAAAATTGTATATTATGCTCAACAGAGTGAATCTTACGAATCTTGATTCAATATGATTAACGATCCACTATTTTAGCAAAATGATTCATGATTCAATTTGTGATTTGACAACAATGCTCTATATCTTGAAGCAAGTCTTTGAGAAACCTTGTGCTTATTGCTTTCGGTTAAACTTTTAATCCTGCAGATACGAGCTGAACAGTCACCGACTAATGATTCTTCTTCCAGTACATCTGGTTTGAAGTATGTCAAAGAACTTCTTCTCGGTAAGCGAAGTGATCATGCCTTCCGCATGGTCGTTATCGGTGATCCAAACTTAAAACTCAGTGAAATAGGCATACCATGTTATATTGCAGAGAGATTACAAGTCTCTGAGCATTTGAACAAGTTGAACTGGGATAGACTGAACACTTGCTGTAATCTACGGATTCTCGAAAAGGGTGAGATTTATGTTCGCAGAAAAGATCAGCTTATTCGTGTAAATTGTATGGGTAAGTTGCAGATTGGGGACATTGTATATAGGCCATTGAACGACGGAGATATCGTGTTGATAAACAGGCCTCCATCTATTCATCAGCACTCCTTCATTGCTTTATCTGTGAAGGTGCTCCCAATAAAATCGGTTTTTTCGATAAACCCGCTCATCTGTTCTCCGTTCCGTGGGGATTTCGATGGCGATTGCCTACATGGTTATGTTCCTCAATCGATTGATGCCAGAGTCGAGCTCCAAGAGCTTGTTGCTTTGGACCGGCAATTGGTTAATGGGCAGAGTGGTCGAAATCTCCTTTCACTAAGTCACGATAGTTTAACCGCGGCTCATTTGGTTGTGGAGGATGGGGTGCTTCTGAACCGTCACCAAATGCAGCAGCTTCAGATGTATTGTCCTCATCAGTTGCAATTACCGGCCATTGAAAAAGCACCTTTAATAAAAACTAGTTTGTGGACGGGGAAGCAATTATTCAGCCTGCTCTTGCCTCCGGATTTTGATTATGTTTGTCCATCAAATGGCGTTCATATTTGTAAGGGTGAGCTTTTATCTTCGTCTGACGGGTCTTCTTGGCTACGTGACACCGATGAAAACCTTTACGAGTGTCTCATCGAACATTGCCGAGAGAAAGCTCTCTACTTCCTATATTCCGCTCAGCATGTTCTTTGTGAATGGTTGTCGATGAGGGGTTTGAGCGTTTCGTTGTCTGACCTTTATCTCTCTTCTGATTTGTACTCGCGTAAAAATATGACTGATGAAGTCTCTTGGGGTTTGCAAGAAGCAGAGCGGATCTCTCATATCAAGTTGTTGATGGTAGATGGAAATCGGGATTTCCTTATTGGAAGCGAAGAAAGTCTAAATGCTATGAACTTCGGAGCTGAGCGCATGTGCTATGAAAAGCAAAAGTCTGCTGCGCTTAGTCAAGTTTCTGCTTCTGCTTTTAAGCAAGTTCTCTGGGATATTCAAAACCTAGTCTATCAATATGCTAGTAATGAAAATTCATTGGTGGCCATGTTAAAAGCGGGAAGCAAAGGCAATTTGATGAAATTAGTCCAGCATAGCATGTGTGTGGGTTTGCAGTATGCATCGCTTCCGTTATCTTTCAGAATGCCACATCAGCTTTCTTGTTCTGCGTGGAACGATCACAAGGCCATTGTGTCTGGTCACGTGACCCGTGATATTCCTGATGAACGTGGTGGGCCTTATGTTCCATGTGCTGTGGTTGAAAGTTCTTTCTTAACGGGTTTGAATCCTCTAGAATGTTTTGTTCATTCATTGACAAGTCGAGATAGTTCATTCAGTGACAATGCTGATCTTCCCGGAACTTTGAATCGGAGGCTTATGTTTTTCATGCGTGATTTGTATGCTGGATATGATGGAACAGTGAGAAATGCTTATGGGAATCAAATTGTTCAGTTCTCTTATAATATCAAGGACGCTGCTTCTCCAAGTAGTGGTACTGATGGTTCATTCTATGATAGTGCTTGTGGTGCCGTGGGTGGTCAACCTGTTGGTTCGTTGGCTGCTTGTGCCATTTCTGAAGCTGCATATAGTGCTCTAGATCATCCAATTAGTGCACTTGAAACATCACCGCTATTAAATCTAAAGGTGCTCTCTCTCTCTCTCTCCATTGCACCCCTGCTGTGTATCAGATTCCCATGGGAAAGTGGGGGAATCGGATTCCTACGTAGCCCAATAATGTGATTCCAGGTGAAATAGATAATCAGAAATCATGTTCCTATTTCAATCCTTTCCGAACGCTGGAATCATTGGGACCCTGAAACAATTTCCCATTCCCCCTCAAGATTCCTTAGCATAAAACTTTAAGCTAGTAGACAGCAGTGTAATTTATTTGTTTCATCAACAACTGTCATGTAGTTCTCAGAATGCTTGACAAAGTCTCCTAATATTCTTATTCGATTGTGCAGAAAATTCTGGAGTGTGGTGTGAAAAAAATTAGTGGTGATAAAACTGCGTCTCTATACTTATCCAAGAAACTCGGAAGATGGACACATGGTTTTGAGTATGGAGCGTTAGAAGTTCAGTCTCATTTGGAGAGACTACTCTTTTCGGACATTGTTTCTACTGTCATGATATTGTAAGTTTCCGTTCCATTTTGATCGTTCGTATTTTTACTTTTACCCTTTTGATTATAACATTAGTATATATGCATTTGCTATCTAATTGATGTGCCCCGTGGGTATTAGCTTCTCCCCACAGACCTCTAGTGGCCGTGCACAAACCAGTCCATGGGTTTGCCATTTTCACATATGCAAGGTATTACAATCAGAAAATATCAAATTTTTGGCATCTATGAATTTCAGGTCCCACGTTCTTGTATAAAATCGTGCTTTTTCAGGAGATGGCTAAGAGGAGAAGACTAACGGTGAAGTTTATTGTTGATGCCCTCAAAATGAAGTGGGAATCCACTAGTGCCAGATTAAAAACCCATCTCCCAAAATTGGAAATAATGATTAAGTAAGTTGCTTTTTTCCACCATATGCTTATTTTATTATTATTATTTTTTAGAAGTGTAGCTATGAGCTTGTTCTGTCCATTTGCTATGCAATCACATTTTTTTATTTTTCTTATCTGTTAATTTCGACTTCTGACCTTGTTTAATTCATTTCCAGGGATTGTTCTGATATGCAGAAAGAAAATAATGCTACATTTTGCATCACAGTCACGATGGTTGAAAGAACCAGGAATTTGGATGTACAATTCATCACTTTTCGTGACATGGTGATACCATCCCTTCTTGGAACTGTCGTAAAAGGTTATTACTGAACTAAGAATACAAATTTACTCTAGCTTTAAGTTCTTGTGTATTTAATTGCTCAAGTTTGGTTATTCTATGCCTCGTTCTAATTTTTAGTTTTAATTCCTGGGTTAGGCTTATCCCGTGATAAAATTGCCTCTGAAAGCAGAAATCGAGTATTTCTGAAGTGTGAAGCATGTATCTTCTCTGATATACGAACTATTCTTGGATATTGCTTAATTTTGAAAGTGTGAAATACCAACGGAGAAGCATTTGTAGAATAGAATGTCCTCTTTCCTAAACCATTTACAGAAAATGTTTTGAACCACTATGATAACTCTTTGATCATATCTTAAAAAGAATTGACATTTATAACCCATAATTGACATTAAAAACCCAGAGTAAATCCCTGCATCCTTTAAGATTCTTTTCAAGTACAACAATAATTATCACAGATTGACTAGAGCGTGCTTAGGGTTAAAGTTTCACTGGTTGAGAATTTTTATTGTGTGAACACATACAAATAATTCCGCATTTCCAAAGTTATTTTTAATCAAGTTTATTAGGTTAATCAAATATTCATTCCATTGTGGCTGATAAAAAACAAAAGTAAAAAATGCTCATTCCATTGTGACATCATCTGAATTCTTGAATATTTATAATCTATTTTTTACCTTCGGAAATGTATTTTAGGGTTCCCCGAGTTCAAAAAGGTGGATATCTCATGGAAAGATGGGGCAAATTTATCAAGATCTCATAGAAGGTTTTCTGGTGAACTCTATTTGAGAGTTTTTATGTCAGAGAACTGTGAAAGAACAAAATTCTGGAGTGCCATTTTGGATAGTTGTCTCCAAATAATGGATATGATCGACTGGGAGCGCAGTCATCCCGATGATGTTCATGATATGACTTCGGCCTATGGAATAGATGTTGCACGGAAATGTTTTTTGAGTGTGGGTTTTTTTCACCTTCCTTTCATTTTGATGCATTTACAACTTTTGAAAAACATTTAATTAATATTTCTAACTGAAAAGGCAATTCAAATGCAGAGTTTGAAGTCAGCAATATCTGAGACTGGCAAGTCTATACTTCCAAAGCATTTGCTTCTTGCTGCAGATTGTCTATCAACTACCGGAGAGTTTGTTGCCTTAAATGCAAAAGGGTTTGCAGTGCAAAGAAAGAATGCTTTCGTCTCTTCACCCTTCGTGCAAGCATGCTTTTCTGTATGTTCTTGTGTTTGGGCAAAAAATGTTTTGTATTCTATGGCATATTGGTACAATGGAAAATGGAAGTCAATGGAAAATGTTATCCATGGTCAACGGAAACAAGCCTATTTGGGCAGCAATTGTTTTCCACTTGGAAAATGTTTTCCGAATTAAGATTTTTACCAATTCCACTACACTACCACTGCCACCATCACCATACCACCACCACCACCACACCACCATAGCCACCACCCCACTACTAATACAACAATTAGTACATTAGTTTCAAGGACGCAACCAAACATAGGAAAACCTTTTCTCTGGGAAAATATTTTCTGTTGGAAAATTTTGTGTGCCAAAACAAACGGAGCTTAATATTCTTTATAATGTTTCTATGATTTTTCATATGAAGTTTGGTTTTGTATGCCTATTGAACCTATGTCTGCATGATGAAATTTATTTATTTATTTTCTTGTATGTGTGTAGAATCCAGCTGATTGCCTTATTAAAGCTGCCAAGAAAGGACTTCAAGATGATCTTCAGGGTTGTCTTGATGAGTTGTCGTGGGGAAAAACTCCTTCTATTGGGACTGGTGGACGATTTGATATTATGTATTCTGGAAAGGTAAGGGATCATTGTTGTTAAAGGATGCTCCATCTTCATGTAATTCATGCCTCTCATGTCATGAGTTGAATTTTGTAATAAGACAATAGGGTTGAATATGGAGAGATAATAGCGGCATAAAAGAGAGAAGAAAGAACAAAGGTTTAACGTGTTTAGCTAATATTGGTCTACATTCACACACACAAAGCCCTATGAGCTACATCTTTCATTCATTCAACTTGATATTCTTGTTTACATGATATAACATATATATAGAGTGGGAGATACAATGAAATCCCTTAAGGAATTAAAATAAATCAAAGATACAAAAAATCATAATAAGTATAAATCATAAAATCTCCATATATTCTAATATCTTCCATATCTTTGACAATATAATCTTTATCTCCAACACTTCCCTCAAGTTGGAACACGAAACCGTTGAAGTGAAGTATGCAACTTGAACTCGAAAATAGTATGATTGTTGCAAACAATTACAATGAAGTTGCCAAAAGACAACAACAATTGTAATAACTCCCTTCAATGATAACTTCAATGAACATAGCAAGGAATCAATAGCTTGCAACAGAGAAACGTTTATTGAATCAATCATGATGGCTGTAAGAGAAACCAACCGAGAGAGAGAAAGCAACAAGGTCTAAGCAACGGCAAATCACCACAAACAGAAAGGCCGAAAAACATCCCACAAAGAATACTATTGAACACACCAGTAGCCCAAATATAAAAAGGAATCAAATGTGTTTACCACATTAACACAGGGACCCTAACAGGGTATAGAAGTAGTTAGAAAACTCGGCGTATCACAAAATAATGCTACCGAATCCACTAGTAGTCCCAAAATAAGTAAAAATCATAAAATTTGCTTACCACATCAGCAAACTAGTGATCAACACAAGGAAGAAGGAAAAACACCTTGATAACAAAAAATGTAGAGTAAGAGATAGAGAAACATGCCTAGGGTTTAGTAAGCTCTGATACCAAGTTGAATTTTGTAAAAAGACAATAAAGTCAATATAGAGAGATAATAGAGACATAAAAGAGAAAAGAAAGAACAAAGGTTTAACGTGGTTTAGCCAATATTGGCCTATATCCACACACACAAAGCCCTATGGGTTATATCTTTTATTCACTCAACTTGATACTCTTGTTTACATGATACATCATATATATAGAGTGGGAGATACAATCAAATCCCTTCAGTTAAGAAATTGAAATAAGTCAAAGATACAAAAAATCATAATAAGCATAAATCATAGGATCTCCCTATATTCTAATATCTTTCTTATCTTCTAATATCTTTGACAATATAATTTTATCTCCAATAGGTATTTGTACTTTTGAAAATTACTGTCGCCTTCAATCTTTGTTGATATCTAATATGTTCTCAAAATTAGAAACATTTCTAGAACTAAAGTTTTTAACATATCTAACAAGAATGGAAACTTTGAATACTAGTGGTTGATTATGGGAAACTACGGAATAATGCTATATGCACTAATTGGTCTACTAACATATGATGTGGCATAATTTTATAGGTTTTGGGTCCTTGTAGCTTGTATAATGGGTGGGGTCATAGTTTTGAAGTGGCAATGTCATAACATATGTTGGTACACTAATTGGTATACCGATTGGTGCGTGTAGCACCACTGGGAAACTATGAGCAGCGGAAATACATCATATTTGTTTCCCTTTTTTCTTTTGACCTAAGAAAGGTATAAATCTTAGGGTTTTTAAAACTGTGCTCCATAAAAAGTAAGTTCTTTTCATCTTCTTAGCTTTTCAGCTGTACTGATCTTTAGATGACGTGCTCCTTTAAGCATCACGCTACACTGGTTCAATTCTCTTCATGACCATCCCCTGGTTTGGCAGTGATCAGTTGCTATGCATAAACTTTCTCAGACATCTGATATGATTGTTAATTTTAATCATTGGCATCAATTGATCTTTGTAGTTCTATCTTTTACCCTTTTGTTATCTTTTCTGTGTATATGGTATTGGGGGATGGAATTACATTTTTCAGGAAAAATAATGTGGTTCTCTTCATGTCTAATTCATTCATTAGGGGCACGAACTCACTAAACCTGAAAATATCTACGAACTTTTGGGTGGCCATGTCAGCTCTCAGGAACAGAATCTAAAGGTGAAGGTACCTGGCGAATATAATGGCATGTCTGACAAATGTGACCCTTGGCCTCTGTGCACATCCGATGTATTTTCCACAAAAGGGAATAAAAATTTGGAAGTATCGAAAAAGATCTTGAGAAGTTTTATATCGCTCAAAGACATTCAAAGGTTGCGTCAAGCATTGAAGAATATTCTACACAGGTAAGTTAATTCTCTTTTTACCAAATTTTTGTCATTATGTAGTAGTAGTACATTATGTTACATAGTTAAAGATTGTATATGCTAGTCCGAAAAATATTTTGTCCTCAAATGATTGTTATTTCACATTGGCTATCTCCACCTACTCTCCACCTACTTCACCCACTTAAACCTACTCCACTAAACCTAACCCACTACACCACTACCACATCACCTACTCCACTAAACCTAACCCACTAAATCCACATACTCTCCACCTACTTCACCCACTTTATACATTAAATTTCTACAGATTGTTATTTCACATTGGCTATTCCGTAAAAAAAAAACTAATAATTTTAGTGGCTATTTCATTGTGCCATACATATATGCTTTTCTCATGGAGTTGATACTATGCGCAATCTTGGTGATGTTATTTTGATTTTGCACTCTAGATAACGATAATTCTGTTGTGAAATCTGTGTATACTAATTGGTCGCACGTGCACTTGGAAAGTGTTAAATGGTTTGTCTCAAGTACTAGTGTTAAGTCTGTAATAATCCACTTCGAATTTTTTTTTATGCTATTACAAGCAAATGATGTACCCAACATTATGGTTGAGCCACATGAGAGAGATTAGGAAAATGATATGCTTACATAATTTTTGTACAAAATTTATAAGAACGGTGGCATTTGTGAAATTACGAGGATAATAATGCGTGTTTTTATTGTAAATGACGGAACCACAATATACCACATCATTCTATTTGTGTATCATTACTCATAGTACTAACCTTAAATCCTTACATTGTTAGCACTTTGGTTCTCAAGTTGTGTCTTCACCTAAGAAGCATTGACACTTCTGAGCAAGTGTCGTGTTTGTGTTGAACATCGACACTCATCGGACACTTTCCAACACGCATCCTAATTTTTTAGCACTTTTTTAGAACTGGACACTTTTTTATTGTTTTAATTGATGCAGATATCCCATCAATCATTCGCTAAATGAAGTGGACAAGTCTATTGCAACGATGGCTCTATATTTTCACCCCCGGGGGAAAGAGAAGATCGGTAATGGAGCTCTAGAAATAAAGGTAAATGAAAGAAAATATAATCTGCTGCAAATTTGTGTTAAAAAAAAATCGTTTTTTGTGTGAAAGACACTCGTGAAAGAAAACAACTTCTAAACTTACCTGCAATATGAGTATGACTATTTGTTTTCTGAAGTTGTGTTTGGATCATGGATTTGAAAGAGGGAAAGGGAAAAGGTGGGTGAAATATTTTATTTTCATGGAAACATTTTTCATTCATAATGGAGCTAAAGAGCTGATGGCAAAAAAAATGAAGAAATTTTGAGTATTATTTGGGTCAAAATATTATCTAAAGAATTCTCTGTAATCCTATGAAATTAATTATGTATTTTTGGACTGGCTTTGTGTCACCCATGTACAGGTTGGCCATCACCCTGAGCACGAAGATAGCCGTTGCTTTTTATTGGTAAGAACTGATGGAACGGTTGAAGATTTCTCATACCACAAGTGCGTACATGGTGCTCTTGAGATAATTGCTCCTCAAAGAGCAAAAACCTACCAGTCAACGTGGTCAAAGGGTACGATGTAATCCAACTTTTTTCAAATTCGATTGCAATCATTTTTAATTTTTTTCACAAAAAAAAAAAGAAAAAGAAAAACTAAGAAACAATTCAGTATTTGTACATATACAATCATTCCTGACTATCCATTTCTGTGTCGTTCACAATTACCAACAACCCGTCCACATCTTGTCCTCTCTAGATCTTGTTTTAGCAGGAGCCTCTAGTACTGGATCATCTTTTTTTTTTAAAAAAAAAAAAAAAAATTTAAATTAAATTAGAGAAAAGTAGTACACCCCATTAAAGTTGGAACCTTGGAGATCTGATTTTTGCTATATTTAAATTTTTTAATTTGTGTTGCAGTACTTACTCCTAAAGTGGAGCTCTCAGACAAGGCCTAAGCGGTAGGTTATCTGCAGTGGCTGGGTAGTGCACAAAGGGGGAAGGTCTATCCAGACAATATGCTCTTTCTATTTTTGTTTTACTAACCTTTTTTTTTTTGGATAGTGAATTCTCGTCTTTTGTATTTATTTATTTTTTTGTTGTTAATTAGGGTAGTCCAATTCTTATGCTTCTTTTTGCTGCCTCCACTAAATTTTGTTTCCCTTTGGCAAAGGGAAAGAATATTTAGTGGATGTAGCAAAGAGAAGCTTGGAAAGGGCAGTGCCCCTTTTCATGCTGTATCTTTTATCTTTCTTGCAATGGAAACACATGTTTTTTTTTTTTTTTAAATGTGTGTATGTATTCTCTAAATAAGTATCTTGGTATTTCAGCATATATTATGCTGAGGGTAGTCTAAACTAGTGTTGGAATGGCAACAAAAAGTAATTTGTTGCATGGTGATCTTGGCTTTGTTAGGGAAGTTTGGTGCATGTCTTACACTAATTGCTTGCCAATTAGGTAGTGTTTGGTTCACTGGAATGAATTATTTGTAATGTTTGGTTTATTGGAATGAAGATGAAATGATCATTGCATTAGAATGTCTATTTGCATGTTTGGTTCATTGAGACACTGTTCATTTGGATCTAGGATTTGGAAAGGGATTTTCCATCACCTTTTTCTTTTCCATTTGTAAATCTCTACCTAAATTTTAGATCCAAACACAAAAGTAATGGAAATTAATTTACAAATTAAAGCATCATTCACCATTGGAAGGGTGTCATCATTTGACTCAAGGAATGTTCATTTCATTCTTAATAAGCCAAACAGTTCCCTAGGGTTTGGTTTTTTTCACCCATGGTTAGGTGTGAGGCTTTTCATTTTCCTCGTATTTGTTTGAGGCCTTGAGTTTGTCAGATTTGTTCTTTATTTGTGATTATTTAGTTGTAATTCTCTTGATATTTGTTGGGCGAATTGATTGGGATTGGAATTTAGTTTTGCCTTTGTGAACTTCATAAAAATAAAATAAAAAAAATGTAACCAGTGTTATGGCATTGTGGTAATGGCATTTATTGGGTGAGCTTTAGGTTTTATTTTTTGTAATAGAACTTTCTTGGCTCTTAAGTTCTAAAAACATGAATTTTATGCTTTTTGACTAATTATTTATGAGTAATGATGCTACACAAACTTATGAATGTGTGAAAATGTGTACTGTTTTAATTTTCCAAGGTTTTTTTTTTTTTTTTGGGGTTACATGAGACTTCAGTTGGTAAAAAAAAGTTCTTAAAATTTGTCTATTTGTATTACATTTTCTATCATTTATTCTCTTTAGGCTCACAAGCAATGGCATCAATTTGTGCAGGTTGGCTACATGAACCCCCATTTCATAGAGATAACCCAAAGGATTATTTGTGTTTGGATCGTTAAAAGTTGTGTTCGGCGTTAAAAGATGATTCAGCATCAGTTTAGTTATGTAAACAAAATAAGTTAAAATATGTTTTCTGAGCTTGTTAATTTTCACAACTTGAATTTGACTCAATAAAAACTTTTACTCAACATATATTTCTAAAAAAAATTGTACTAAACAGGATAATTGTCAGCTGAGTTTTTGGATTAACTAAAAAAATCTGAGCGAATTTGGTATAAGCTTTGTTTTGATGGTGTGTAGTCTATAGTCTTAACCCAAATGATTATACATATATACATATATGCATAAATTGACTACTGAATTATTTAACTCCACACTGGTCACCCACTTGTTAATTGGACATGAATGTTAGTGTATAGGGTCACTATCAGTGAAACCACCAAGTTGGGCAGAAGGATTATATATATAAAAAAAAGTTGTATTTTTATGCCTATATATATGTAAGATTTTATAGGTTTGGGCTGTAGCAACCACATGTGCTTTGTTGCTCTCACACTTGGATGGCTTGTTTTTTTTTTTTTGGTGTCATTTATTAAATGTTTGATCATATTCACACTTGCCTAAAATTCACCCTCTTTGAAATGCACTAATATGGAACTTTGTTATCTTCAAGGATCATGATTTTCTGTTATATTTTTCTTTGCAATGATTTATTGTGATAATTTAATAATTCTTGTTTAAAGTGGAAATAAAGTGTCATTGGTTTAAAAGTATGTTGATTTGGAGAAATTTTTAGAGTATATTAATCAAGTTTGGATGATTTAAAAAGACGAAATAAGACGAGAATAATCAATAAAAATTATAATTTATTATGCTTTCATTATCACAAGATCTCTAATTATATTACACTTGACAAAGTCATGCGTAGTGGCTAGTATACAACGGCAACAAACAACCATAACAAACAAAACATCACATCCAACCCATAATCATTACATTCTTCTCTCACAAAAAACTCAAAAAAGCCAAAAAGTCCTTCCCAAACTAAACTTTTAAGCCCAGGCTAAAATAGCCAAAAAAGCCAAAAAACCAAAAAAGCCAACCCACTTTCCAAACGGAGGCTTAAATATTTTTAAAATATTTTAATTTTGTTAAGATATTAAATATTTTAATATTTAAATATGTTACGATTTTTTTAATTTTTTAATTTTTTGAATATTTTTATATATTTTAATTTTTAAATATTACGATTTTAATTTTTTAAATTTTAAAATATTTTATAAAAATAAATTCAAACTCCATTTTATAAAAATATTTTTAAATATTTTAATTTTTTTGTTATATATTTGGTTATGATTTGAGTGTAGAGCTGTGAAAGTAGTATGGAGTTTCGGTTATGAGTTTTAAAAATAATTTTTTAATTGAATTTTGTTTTATGTATTTGGTTACGATTTGAATGTAGAGTTGTTTTTAAATTTAAAATACTAAAATTTAAAATTATTTAAATTTTTTACTTATTAAATTTTTTACATTATTTAAATTATTTAAATATTTATGATTTAAAATTTTTGAATATTTATTTTGAAAAAAAATTATTTCCTTTGTAGTATTTTCAATCAAAAAATTGATTAACGTTATTTTCTGTTAATAATAAATTTTTTTAATTGAATTTTAAAAAGAGTTTGGCTATGAGTGTTGATCAGATTTTTAATAGTGTGGAAATAGTGTGTTTTGTTATGAGTTATAACAATTTGAATTAAGTTTTGAAAATTCTTTCCAAAACTCATAACTAAACAAATTTTCTTATTTCACATGTCAAATCAAACTTTCAAAACTCAATTCCACATATAATTCAAAACTCAATTCAACACTTTATTCAAAAACTATAACCAAACAAATTTTCTACACTCAAATCATAATTCTATAACTCACAAACAACTTATACTTTTAGATCATATTTATAAAACTCTACCAAACGCAATCAAAGTATGTCCGAGAGGAAGCCAACCTACTCTGCCGAAGTAAGAAAAAAGTTGAACGACGACAGGAAGATGGATCAATTGAGCAGGTTGAGGACGATGGTATTAGTGTCTCAGGTATGAAGTACGAGGATAACTTAGGGATGCCCATTCCTAGTTCGAAGCCCTATGGATCTTCTTTTAGGGAGGTACTTATTGGAGATAGATTAATGTTAGCATCGTAAAAAACATATCATGAAATGTATCATAAAATTTGTTGGAGAAAAATAGTTGAATAAGAAATTGTCTCATAAATGTGTATATAACTCATACATTTAAGACTTATCAGTTTTACAAAATTGATGGGCAGTTTTGCTAGTATTAGTTGCCAGCCTTGATGGCTAGAGGCTCCTCCTCTCTCCCCCATGGTGTACAAAAGGAGGCCCTATTTCTTGAAAAGAGATATAGAATTTTTCCTTGATATCCATACACTGTCAGTCTACTTCTCCTATAATTTTCTTCCTGAGAGAGAGTGCTGCTGTTGTTCGTTCGCTAAGCTAATCAGAAGGTGCTTCTGTTGTAGCTGGTAAAAACCGTCATATCCTGGGAAGTAGATGCCGGCGTACCTTCAGCACCCAACGGTGAGGCGGCAAATCTATTTTAAGGAGACTGTGGTATCACACAGGTTTCGGTTTGCTTCCTTTAACCATTTTATATTTTATCTGTATTTTATTCAGCATGTTATTTTTCCTGGGATTGAGGGTTTGTTTTGTTCATCTCACAATTTTGTGATATGCAATGTGAAATTATATAATGTGAGTAGTTTTTCCCAACAAGCTTAAAATAGATTCGACGTTTATCATAGAATTAGATTAATAGATTCATAGGTGTGTATAATAATTTTGCTTGGCCACTGATAGTACTAGCGAGTTAATTGATTTATTAGATGCATGTATACAGGGTTAAGCTTTTGATTTTGCCATTTTGTGTAGGCTACTGTTTGGTCTTCCCATGGCATGGAATATGCCACTGTTATCAATAGTGAAAAAGAGTTCCATTGGTGCAACGTTAATTCACTGTATTTTTTAATTAATTTATTAATTTATGGTGTACCGGTTCATGCCCTGTATTTCTAGATTTACATGCTTCTAGTTCACAATATAAATTACATGTTCATTCGGGTTTAATTTTTAGTGTAATTTACATTTCTAGCAAGTTTATTAGGTAGTAAATTTTCATGTAACTTGTACCTATTAATCTTTAATTTAGGTGTGGAGTTGTAAAGTTTATAGCTTGCCTATATTTAAATTCATGTTAATTTCTCTAGAATTATTTGCATGTTAATCATGTCATTTGCAATTCTTGCCTAGTAATGTGATTTAAGTATTTAGGAGTTATAAAATGTTTGTAACTTGTCTCAGTTAATTACATGTTTATTATGTAATTAATTTTTTACAGTTTTTTTTTTATAGTTTAAATTCTAGATGTGTAACTTAAGGGTTGGTTTTAATCTTTACTTACAGTTATTTATTAGTTTGTTTGCTAGTACCCTCCCCTTCAATCACTATTTTGCCAAAAACAAAGAAAAGCTGAAGGAGGTTTTGTTGTATTTTGCTGCTAACTCTTTATTGCAGGAATACCTTTGGAAATGGGAAAAAAGATTAATTTGGACTAAATATTTGAAGCAACTGTTTGCTTGAGTATTCATTTGTGGTTATTCACCAATATGTAAAGCACGTTTTATTTGCTTGTAATTATTGTAGCAATTTTGTTGTAATTGCTTGTACAGTTTGAAACTTAGTGTTTTTAACCTAGTTCATCTCTTGGAAAATTTAATTCTTAAAGTTGTTTCCCATGAATTAGGAGTCAACATACTTTTGAAAGTTTTGTCTAAGGTTAACTGGGTTTTAAGTGGGACCGGTGTGACCCCTCCAGTCTTCCTGGAAAACTTTCCTGACCATGTTCGATTCTAGGTTGCGTGGTGAGACTAGTTTTGAATTAAATTTTCAATTGTGGGATTTTCTAGTGTTAAGTTTGATTTTTGAAAATACAGAATATTGAAAATTCTGCTGTAATTTTTCAGAAATGGCAACTGTCTCTGATGCTGCTATTGTTGCTGCTAATGTTGGTGGGGATCCGAACCCTGGGGCGACTGGCTTGCCAACCCCTGCTATGACCTCTGTGGTCAATCCTCCTGTTGTTACTTCGGCTGTTCCGGGAGGACCGCTCAATCATCACGAGCGCCCGGAGAAGTTCACGGGAGTGAATTTCA